AGGGGGGGGGGGGGGGGGGGGGGGAGAGAGAGAGAAGAGAAAAGAAAAGAAAAGAAAAGAAAAGAAAAGAAAAAAAGAACCACCCACTGATTGATTCGACTGTGCTTGGCCCATGTACCCACTGTCCATGACCAACAACCAATTTGCTTGCAGTGTCGATCCATGTCCCATCTACACACCACATGTACTACTGCAAGGCGGTCAAAGCCACACAACATACATACAGACACGACACACACACACACACACACACATACACACACAACCCAATCCTCGTCACCATCACCATGGTATTAGAATCTGAATTACTACCTCCTACAGGAAGGACCAAAAAAAAGCGGGGGGGGAATAAGTATCGAAAGGCTAAGTAAACATACGAGAAGCTGTGTGTCGTGCTGGGAGACGGTGCAGCCACAGGCCAGATCCAAAGGCTAACACTGTCCGTTAAAAGATGAAAAGGCCCCGAGAGTAAGAAGAAATAAAATCCCGACATTCCAGTATATCCGTCAATGTCGGCAATGCACCAACCGTCCATTACAAACGCCAGCAGCTGCCATGATGCATCACCACATCTTTGGTCGCTTCGCTTCCTTGGGTTCCGGTGCAAGCGCCCTGGCCGCTGCTGCCCAAGACCACACCTGGCTCAACGGCCCAAATGCATATGCCACTGGCTGCTCAGACGGGCCTAGGCGTCATCGGCGTCGTCTTGCACTGCGCCGCTCTGTTCCCTGTTCATGCGCGCCTCGATTTCCTTCAGTTGGCTTTCGCGTGCTAGGAGCTCCTGTCGCTTCTCGTTGATCTCGCGTTGCACCTTGACTTCGATCTCGCGCAGCTTCTCCTCTTCACGGCGTAGCTGCTCCTCCTTCAGACGCACTGACTGGCTAGCGAGGTCTTCGGGGTTCATCGACGAATCAGTGCTTTTTTTTAGTTAGCATGGCCTTCTTTCAGGGGGGGCAAGACAACTTACGCAGCAGCACCGCCTTCGACGCTCTTGCTGAGCTTCTCGGTACGGTAGTTTTCGTATAGGAAGTCGTGCGTAATCTCCTTGAGATCAGCAAGATGGCTGTGAAGAAGCGCGCTTCGCACAGCAAGAAAGTCCGAGTGGCGGGGATTGTCGACCTCCACAATACCCCAGGGGTACTGTCGTGCCCGTACCCGTCGGCCGTTGACCTCGACAATGTCCTCGGAACCAACAATGGCAAAAGGCATCAAGCCACGGAGCTCGGCATTCTCCTCGACTGTGTCCTCGTCGTCTTCCTCGACATCGTAAGGGAAGTTGTACACGGGGATGCGGTAGTGCTCAATGTCCTCCATGACCAGCTTTTTTGACTCGGCAAGCTCCGCGGGTGTAAGTGAGTCGGCCTTGCCGATGACGGGGATGACGTTGCAGCGGGGAGACAGGCGTTTCATGAGCTCGATGTCGAGTTCACGCAAACTGGCATTGTCTGTTAGCAACATGCGTACCAATAGGGACGAGACATACCCATGGCCAGTAGGCGTGATGAAGTAGAGGAGTACGTGTACACGGTCGTCGCGGAACCGCGGGTTACGCTTAATACGCGATTCCTCTGCGAGAATGCCATCGTACTGTCGCTCGAGGTATCCGACAATCTCTGAGAAACTGCATGGCTGTGAGCGCGTGTCGTCGCCACGGCCACGTGGTGCTTACCTGGCCTCGTTGTCAATCTGGTCTCCGAATCCGGGTGTGTCGACAATGGTGAGCGAGATGCGGGTCCCCTCCTCGTCTAGTTCTGCTCATGGTCAGCAGCTGCAGTCTTCACCGCCACACGGCCAACATACCGACAGTGATGGGCTTGATCTTGACGCCCTCCTCGACGTGGGCCGTTGTCGGGTCGTCGACCTCCTTGTGTCCCAGCACCTGCTTGCCGCAAAGCGTGTTGACAAAGGTTGTCCGGCCAGTGCCCGAGGCGCCGCAAACCATCAGGCAGAACTGGATTCCCTTCTTGACATTCTTCTTTCTGCGCGTCTTGTTAAGTGCCTGAGGCATTGTTAGCAACCAACGCCGATTGCGAGGGCGGGCGTGGAGAGCAGGGCGGCACCGTGTGCCTGGGGAATGGGGAGACGTGGTGTCGTGGGGAGGAGCGTCGTACCGAAGACATGATGGCCTGTGAAGGGTGGATGTGGTACGTTGTGGATGGAGCCGTGAGCACACAATGGAGGGCGGCCGGAGAAAAGGGAGAAGCTGCGTGCAGGCAGAGACGGTGGACTGGCTGTGGTGGTTGAGCGGTGTCGTCGTGGAAATTTGGGGACGTTGGCAGCTCCTCCCTGCGCGATGCAAAGGGGCTCGCTAGCGGGAAACACCCCGGTCGGCTTCTCCTTCTTGGCGCCACCACCACCTCGCGCGACGGCTCCTTTGGGAATGATGCTCCATGCTACGAGTCCGACTGCGACTTGAGGCTGCGCCGCGTGGGGGGCGTGGTGCTGGCCTGGCATCGTGGTCCTGTCGACACGCGGCGTGGCCCATGGCTCTCGTCGACGCCCGTCGGCGCCGTGATTCTGCGTACAAGTGTAGTCCTTGGTACTTGGGTAGGGACCGATAAGGGGACCCTCAACGCGTGCTGCGTTGCCGGACACGAATACTTGCTTCTGTCCGAGACGCTGCCGGCGCCCACGGACACAGCCGCGGAAAAACAAGGCCACGCGCCTCTGCGTGTTTGCTTGTTGATTGCCGGCTCGGCCAGCCGCAACATTGGGCACTGTCGCGGCATGTCCGCCTGTACTACAGTACGGCAAGTACATGTGTCGAAGTACTTTATACGTGCAGTACACACTGTACACACGTCTCCTGGGTCCCGCCAGTCACGCTTGCCGCAAGCGGTTAGCTCCCGCCTTACGGGCGAGCTGTGACCTTTGGAGCCGTGGACCCTCCTCCATGTTGCCGTCGCCAGCCCACACGACGCTATTCACTCATACGCCTGCTGCTGCCTCGGTCGCTGCTGGAGAGAGACATGGGCCTGAAATGCGCCCACGGCTCCCAATAGCGCCCTCTGTGCCCTCTTCTGGCTGCCTCCCTTCTGCGCGCTCGGCATAGACTGCGCCACACATCTACATACCCTCCGCATTCACCAACAGCCCGCCCCACCCCACGATGAATACCAGACCCATCCTCGACTCGGACACAGGGCCCTTTGTTCTCTCGGCATCCTTCAACGCCGACTGCTCCCACTTCTCGGTGGCGCTGGAAACGGGGTTTCGAGGTACGGCGTGGTGGTTGCATCCGCCGGTACTGACTGACGCACGCAGTCTTCTCCTCGACAACATGCGAAGAGCGCATTGCAAGAGGTACCTTTGTGCCCCCACGCCCACACCCGCGACACCATGCTGACACTTCTGCAGAGGTCGGCGGCGGCATCGGATGCGCAGAGATGCTCGGCAACAAGAGCTATATTGCTTTGGTCGGAGGAGGGAAACAACCCAAATATCCCCAGAACAAGGTTGGTCCTGACGACTCTGGCTGGATGCTGGTCAACGACACTGACATCATCTACGAGGTCCAAATCTGGAACGACAAGACAGAACGCTTCACCACGTCGGTCGAGTTCAAGACGCCCATACAGCGCGTGCGCCTGTCGCAGACGCACATGATTGTGGCGCTACTGAACTCGGTGTGCATATACAAGATGAAGGTACCTCCAGCCAAGACGGCAGAGTACGAGACGGTCAACAACCCTTTTGGCCTGTGTGAGTTGGGAACCAGCATTGTCGCGTTCCCTGGTAGGGCAGCGGGCCAAGTCAAGATTTATGACCTGAACACGGGCAACGTCAGCATCATTCCCGCCCACGAAAGTCCGCTGCGCGCAATCGGCATCAGCAGAAGCGGGGATCTCATCGCTACGGCCAGTGAACAAGGCACCATCATACGCCTGTGGTCATTCCCTTCCTGCACCAAGCTTGCAGAGCTTCGTCGCGGCGTCGATCCGGCTGCCGTTTTCTCTCTTGCATTCTCGCCCGACGGCTCGACACTTGCCGTGACTTCAGACAAGTCCACGCTGCACATCTACGATCTCAAGACGGCAACTGCCGCCTCCCAAGCCGATCCAGCACAGCACAAGTACGGTATACTGTCCAAGATTCCGCTTCTGCCCCGGCAGTTCTCCGACACATATCCGACCGCGACGGCCAAGTTTGAGATGGGCGACGAGCCAACCTCTTGGGGCCCACACGGCAGATCTGCCACCCTAAGTGCGGGTATTCCAGGCGTACCAGGCGGCAGGCCCACAAAAGGCTTGATAGGCTGGTTGGACGACGAGACGGTATTAGTTCTTGGTGCCGGACAGGACGCTCGATGGGAGCGTTTTATCATGGGGGCCGATGACAAGGGGAAAAAGTGCCTTGTTGCAAATGGATGGAGGCGGTACATTGATTAGGAGGTGATACGAGGGTCATGCATGATTTGATGTTGTATTGGAACATGTGATGCATATTGGTGGAGTGGAGTGGAGTGGAGTGGAGTGAAGATGGATGGCGGTCACGTATTTATGATTGCATGTGGGATTTTTACTGTTGTAAGATTTAGGTGTAGACACATTATGATTGTGGCTCATAGATAGCAAGGCGTCGGTCGGTAGTGGTAGCATTACTCGGATACACTGATACCCGCATACAATGACAACAGATATGTGCTCACAATGCAATGGGTATGCTGTTTGAGAAGGCAGTCAAGACAAGGGGTCGTCAGGTGTGATTTACATACATACTAGTAGGTACATAATAATAATCATCATAGCCAAAAGCCAAAAATAGCGCGGGAAAAGAGCAATCTGGACCTTGACGGAATGCACCCCGCCTCACATGTGCATGTGCATGAGATGATGGTTGCCGCGGCGTTCCGCAAAGCGAACCATGGTCCGTCTATTCCCAAAAAGGGCAATATTTGCATGTAAGCAGCAAACAATAAATTGTACTTTCTCATCTTCAAGGTCACGCTGGCTGACTGAGAATCATGGTTGATACATGAACAATATACATGTGTGCAAGCCAGCAATATCGCTTGATATTAATATATGACTATCGCCATGTAAGAGAAGACAATCAACGCCACGATGATAACTGGCATCCCTTTCATCCCATCATCGTACCTCACTCTTTCCAAATGGGTATACACAATAAGCAGTCAAAAATAAAACATCTTCCTCCAAACCTCATCTTGTTCCATGCCGCTTCCGCTTGTCCTAGTAAATCATCCAGAAAGACCCGCCAAGTAGCATGCCGGCTACAAGGATGGTAAGGATCGCTGCGCCCGCCCTGTCTGCGTTTGTAATCTCCGACTTGAATTTGGGAACACTGTCATTGTTGTTGTCGCCGCCGGAACCTAGGCCAGGATCACCTTTACTGGTACCGCCCGTAGCATTGGAATATGGGGCCTGGACACGTGGGGCATTGAGCACACTAATGACGTTGAGTGCAGTCATTTGCGGTCCAACACCACCGATACCGTCAAAGCCTTGACGCCACCATCTCATGCCACATTGATAGGGGCCACCGCCATGTTCAGAGGGACCCACACAGGTCTGTGCTGCTGCAACGGCTGATTTCTGGAGGCGCGGCAGGATTTGCGGTGCAAATTCCGGAACCAGCTGCATGGTGATGCCGAGCCAGCGTGCAAGGTATGCTTTGAAGCTTTCTTGGTCGGTGTTACAGACTTGGTTGGCCTCGCAGACCTCCACCATGACTCCGCCCTTCTCATCGGGGTAGAAAATATCAGTTTTACTGAGAAATTGCGTCAAGTGTGTCTTCCATTTCTCGGCGCCGTTGGTGTAGTTGTACATCTGCCATGATGAGTTTTGTTACTTTCGTGTAGACATTTGGGGGAGGGGGCAAAGGGACATACGTATGCTGCACCTGCTATCATAATTCCGTAGTTGTATGTCCAGGGGGTTTGATCGGCGTTGCTGCACGGTGGATTTGTCGTCATGCTCGTTCCGTCGTAAACCTGTCCATCGCCTGGCAGGATTGGGCTATGTGACATCCAGTCGAAGACTTTCTCTGCCCATGTCGCATATGTATCGTTCTTGGTGTACACAGCCAGTCGTGCGCCGAGGTGGAAGAGACCTCCGTTTGAGGCAGTGTTCTTGTACGTCCATCCGTTAAGCCATGGGTAGATTTGCCAGCGCATACCGCCGCCACAGTTCCCATCAGCCACCTCCTTCTGGTAGCGGGATACGAACTGGTTGAAGACTGACTGTGTCATTGCGAGCCAGCCGGGCTTGTCGTCAGGAGGGTCTTGGAGTTTGTATTCGGCAGCAGCCATCATGGAGTAGGCCCAGAAAACCTGATCATCGTTTCCTTCGTTCTTGGACTGATTGGAGGGCATCTGGAGAGAAGTTAGCAATTGGGTGCTGGTAACATGTCGAGGAACGGAACACACCAGGTCAAGGTGCTCTCCAAACTGGTGTATCAGACCCTCGCGGATCATGTCGTTATACTGGTCGTCGCCTGTGTAGTGCCAGTAGTCTAGCAGTGTACCAAACATGGCACCGGCCTGCCACCAGTAGTATGGCGGGTATAAGACACCCGGGTAGCCTCCGAGCACATGGACTCCCTTGTCGTCGACTGTCGCATATTGCGCGACCAGTTGTTTGGCGACCTTGGCGGCGACATCATTGATAGAGGCTGCAAGCGTGCATCAGTAACATGTCCATGTGCATGGCATTGATTGGGCATGGCTGGTCGTTACCTTGGGATCCCGGGTCCAAGGTGAGAGCCTGAGTGAATGGTGGCGCAATGTGGGTTGAAAGCAGAGAAAGCGCGGCTAGTGCTTGCGCCGGGCTGAAGAGCTTCATGAGTGCATGTGTGGTGCGCGTGGGCGCAAATGCAAAGCTACTGTAAAGAGTGGAGACTGGGAAGCAGGCGCAACCGACTTGGTGACGAGACAGGACGGCCGGAGGAGCAAAGGACCAAGGCGCAGAAGGGGGAGCGAGGGAGGGGAAGAGGAGAAGGCGAGAGCGAGTGAATGGCAGACAGGCGTGAAGGGGGACCGAAGATGACGAAGAGAGTGGGCGGGGATCGACGCAGTGCACATGGGCAAGGAATACTGGGTGTGTCAGTCCTGTGCCGATGGGAGGCAGGAGGACGAGTTAATTACCATGTGGGCTGGACACCTAATCCCGTATTCCAACGTCAGCACATGAGTACACCTATGCAGGATGCTATTGCTTCGTCCCGTTCAGCCCGCGGGGGGGGGGCAGCTGGAAGCAGGCCCGACATGGACCTGTTGGCGGGTGGATGGGCGTGTTGATCGGGATGCCATGTTGGGGCAGGCTGGGGAGGGTTCCGGGCCAGAAAAGGACTGCACATGCAGGCTGGCATTGCTGTTTGTTGCGCAAGGTTTTTGTTACGCCGGTCCGTATCGGGGGGAAGGCGAAGGCGAGGGCGGGGCGGAGGCAGGAATGGAAGTGGGAATGGGGCACGGGCGAAGTGTGGCGCATGACTTTGGGGCTGTGGCTGGCCGAGCACTCACACTCACACTCTTCGCATCCGCGCCCTTGCTTGGCACGCCCTTGCCCGACCCTTGCCCGGCCCCTGCCCTGCACCCCTCGGAACAGGGCCTCGAGTGCGCCGGCAAAAAAGAAAAGAAGAAAAAAGACGAAAAAAAAGAGGAGAATACAGGAACAAGGACCTGGCGACTGTGACGGCGCCCGCTCGCTGCTGTGCCACACGCACGACACAAGCGTTTTCCAAGCAAGCTTTGCGCGTGCCTTGATCTGCCGTGCCAAGGCGCACGGAAGAGGCGGCCGCCAGGGCTTCTGTGGGGGCGGAAATTGCGATCGAGTGGCAGAACCACAGTTTTCCCGCCTCGACCACGACCACGGCCACGACAACACCATGAGCTTACGACCAAGCAGCAAACGCGCGTCTTGAAATTGTGGTGCCGCCGCCGCCGCGCCCTCTGCCTATGTACGCCTGCACCTATTACGCCCAGCACGCCCACTACATCCTAAACACACCCCATGTGCTCTCCCTGTCGACCCGCTGGTTCTGCCCGCCACATGCCATCTGCAGGCCCATGCCGAGCACTCGCCGCGTGTGCTCCGGTGGTATGATGCCATCGTCCCACAGCCTTGCCGACCCAAACGCTGCCTCGCTCTCGTCTTCGATGCGCGCCTTGAGTGCCGGGTCCACCTTCTTGCCAACCGCCTCCATGACAGACGACAGCTGCTCTGCCCCCATGACCGATGTCTTCGCGTTGGGCCACGTAAACATGAGACGCGGCGAGTATGCTCGCCCGCTGCACTGCCGTGTCAGCCATTGCTCGCTCCGTCAGCGTCCCCAAAGGAACACAAAATGCCACTTACCACATGCCATAGTTGCCAGCACCAGCACTGGATCCCACCACCACCGTGAACTTGGGCACGTCGACGCAGCTCACCGCCGTCACCAGCTTGGCCCCGTTCTTGGCAATGCCGCCCTTTTCGGCATCCTGTCCAACCATGAAGCCCGAGATGTTCTGCAGGAAAATGAGCGGAATGTGCCGCTTGCCGCACAGCTGCACAAAGTGGGCTCCTTTGAGCGAGCTTTCGCTGAAGAGAATGCCGTTGTTGGCAACAATGCCCACGGCGTGTCCGTATATCTTTGCAAATCCAGTCACCAGCGTCGACCCGTACAAGGGCTTGAACTCGTCAAAGGCCGATCCGTCGACGATGCGTGCAATCACCTCGTGTATGGGTATCTGTCGCCGGAGGTTGGTGCCTACAATACCAGACAGCTCCTGAGCATCGTACAGTGGCTCCTGGTAGTCCGGCTGTGCGGTGACGGTCTGGTTGCGGTGCCAGTTGAGGTTGCCAATGCTTCTGCGTGCGAGAACAAGCGCGTGTGCATCGTCGACAGCTAGGTAGTCTGTGACGCCCGACACTTCGCTGTGAAGCCGGCCTCCACCGAGGTCCTCTGCCGACACGACCTCGCCCGTGGCCGCCTTGACCAGAGGTGGTCCGGCCAGGAAGATGTGCCCCTGGTTTTCCACAATGATGTTCTCGTCACTCATGCTGGGCACATAGGCCCCGCCCGCCGTACAAGGCCCCATGACGACGCTGATTTGCGGGATGCCCATACTCGACATGCGTGCTTGGTTGTAGAAGATGCGGCCAAAGTGATTGACGTCTGGGAACACGTCGGCTTGGTTGGGTAGATTGGCGCCCCCAGAGTCCACCAGGTAGATGCATGGCAGGCGGTTCTCTTGGGCAATCGTCTGCGCTCGCAAGTGCTTCTTGACCGTGATGGGGTAGTACGTGCCCCCCTTGACCGTGGCATCGTTTGCCACCACCATGCACTGGACGCCATTGACACTGCCAATGCCCGTGACGATGCCGCCTGCAGGTACCTCGTCTTGGCCATACATGTCGTAGCCTGCCATTTGGCTCAGTTCGAGGAAAGGCGTGCCGGGGTCGATCAAGGCAGAGATCCTGTCTCTCACCAGCATCTTGCCCCGCTGTATATGCTTTTCCCTCGCCTTGTCTGGGCCGCCTTGGGCAATCTTGGTGTGGAGATGGACCAGTTTCTCTGTTGCCTCATCCATCTGCCGCTTGTTCTCCTTGAAGTCGGCATTGTTCGTGTCGACGTTGGTAGGCATGACAGAAACCGCCTCGGCATGATGTGAATGCGTAAAAGTCGCGGCATTGCGCGTCCCTTGGCGCAAGCTGCCAGCTCGCGCGTGCGAAAGTGTTGTAGGACGGGGGGTCGAGGAGACGAGGCAACGCTGTGCTTGCGACCTGATAGCTGCGGCGGGTCGAATCGTGTTCTTGAGCATTGTCAAGGCCTCGCGAGAAGGCGCTTTCGGCACCATCTTGGGCTTCGATTGAGGGACGTCCCAACGTGTAGTAAGCTCTCAAGCTAATCCGTACCTCTTCTGACGCGGTATATCACATGCGCCGCACACTGGCAATCGGGATGAGCGTGCAATGGAGCAGAAGAAGCAAAATGCTGAATTGCACTCGGCTGGCGGCTCATGCAGCACGGCGTCTGCTGTTTACCGAAACCAAGTGGAAGCTGGGGTTCCGATGTCATCTCAAGACCGCTGTTAGCCGTGGTACCGCGGCTCTGCGGGGAAAACGCGCTTGTCACATCTAGCAGGTACTTACCTTGACACTATGCATTTACCCTGGCATTGTCATGGCGGGATAAGTCCCGAGTATTAAGCTTTATTTGAGACCAAAAAAAACTACTCTGCATCACAGATGACAATCCTCTCACAACTTGCCGCCTCCAGCTGGTACTTCAACAACTTGGTCCAACCCTTCATACTTGGGGATATCAAGATTGTACTTTTCTGCCATCTCTGGGCTTAAGAACCTTCCACCAAGGAAATGCCGGCCAGTGAACTTGTTGACAAGGGGTTTTGGTGCTGTCAGGCTGATGAGCGCGGGTGGCATGAAGCCCTTTCCTGGCCCCGAGTCTCGCGGGCCCTCTTCAATATCCCAGGATGATGGCGCATCGACCGACAGCACAGGGATGGATGTGGATGCCAATGCTTCAATGGCTTTGGGGAAAGGCTCGCGCACTTGGCCAGAAAAACTGAACCCGAAGATGGCGTCCACAATATGATCGGTCTGTTTCAGAGCACCTGTGAAGTCATCGGTGAACGGCACTTTGAGATCTTCCAGTTGCTTTTTCAGTCGCTGCGACGTGTGAATACATGGCATCATCTCCAGTCAAGAGTGAGTACACACCTGGTAAAGGTCATTTTTGCCTTGCTTTGGATAGTAGATGGTGGGCTGGTAGCCATAGTGGAAGAGATGGCGAGCCGCAACAAGACCATCGCCGCCGTTGTTCCCGGGACCACATGCGACGAGGATGCGGTTGCCCTTGCTGAGGGGTTGTAGCTTGAACACTGTAGAGAATCAGATCCGAACACTGAGGAGGCTCGGGAACTGAAAATACCTGCTTGTGATACCGAGAGACCAGCAAGCTCCATGAGCTGATCGAGAGAGAACGCTCCAGACGACATGAGGTCCTGGTCCAGCGCCGCCGCGCTTTTGGCAGAGAGAGTCTATCAGAATATCAGCATGCGGTACAGGTCCGCTATGAATCATGCACTTACTCTGAGTGCCATGTTGAAGTCTCTCTACGCTTCGTTAGATTGCGTGAGTGTGTAAGAGGTGCAGGAACTGAATCGAGGCCTCGAGTACAACATGGTATTGCATTACATCACTGCACTGCGAAGTGTGCGCACCCAGAACACATAACCCTGCAGCATCAACCTGGCAACCTCAAGGCAGATTCATGCAGTTGTATGTTTCGATACCACGATATATCTATCCCATCTTGCATGAGTTTGCACTCGCAGCAGCGTCTCCAACACCCCCTCTCTGCACGTGTTCACGATCCATGTTCGGCTGATCCTCGGGCTCCAAAAAGATCCCCAAACCACCAAGCCGTCCTGCAACACCGCCCGTCGCGACAACACGACCCCGCACACACGACGCCCACAATGGTCCTCCGGATTCGCCTTGCGCGCTTCGGCAAAAAGCATGCCCCATTCTACAACATTGTCGTCGCGCACGCCCGGTATGCATTGCCCTTGCTTGTATTTTGACCTGTGCGCTTTTGGAAGTCGGCAAGTCCTCGATTGTCGTTCTGGCGAGACATTTGGAGAAAAAAAAGGCCCTTGCAACAAGAAAATAAGAAGAGGTCAAGGTACTGACATTGGGCATAGAACAGCGCGCAACTCTCGTCCCCTCGAAGTCCTCGGAACCTACGACCCCAAGCCGCAACCACCCCGACCAGGCGACACGCACGGCCGGCCATGGAAAGACATCAAGCTCGACATTTCGCGCGCGCGGTACTGGGTCGGAGTTGGTGCGCAGCCGAGCGACACGGCGTGGCGGCTGCTCAGCATGGTTGGCATTTTGGAGCCACAATACCGCATAGGGCAAATCCAGGGACAGGTCGTCAAGGCGGATTCAGCCTACAAGAGTTTGATACCCGAGCGGCCCAAGAACAAGGTGGAGAATGTAGGGGGAGGTGCTAACAAGGTCATTGCCTAGACCATGCCGGTTGTTGTGCACGAGATTGAATGTATTGAGGGAGCATCGCAATATATACGGCGTTAATGAAACGGATTCTACGAGAGAGAAAAGGAAAGAAGAGTACTGCATCACCACCACCACCATGTGGTGCATATCTGTAACAATAACAACATGTGCCTGGCATTTGACAGGCCCGCAATGGTCAAACCAACTACCGAAAATGCCAGAAACGCAAAGGAAATTTAGTCGCCCGCTCAAATGCAAAAAAAAAACTCATGTCTAAAAAGCAGCACATACTTCTAGTGAGTGGTTGCTAGAAAGGTATTGGTGATCAAACAAGTCACCATGACAATGACTCCGTAAATGCTCAATGCAAGCGCCAGCTTCCTCAGCAGTCCTCTTCTCAGATCGCGGTTTATATGCCCCTCGCGTGTAACATAGCCCTCTACTTGGCCGCTCTGAAACTCGTCTTCGTCGTCCTCGTCCTTGATGAGCCGTTGGTGGTGGGCCGACTCTGGGTCCGAGATCTTGTAGTAAAACAATCCGGGAAGAATAAAGGAAATTGTCGTGGAGCCGGTAGAGCCGACATAGGCGAGTACCTTTTCCAGACTTGACACAGTCATGGCAGTGATGAAGGAAAGAATAATCAGAACAGTCGAAATGATTGCAAATCGGAGATCGCTCATTTCGGTACTCTTAGGCGTGCCTGGCTTGGTCGTGTTGTTCATCAGGCTGGCGCGTGACGGGCTCCCTTCGGTCTGTTTCCGTCCTCGACCTGGACGCCACTTCAGACAAGCGTCGATACTAGCGCGGCAAGGGTGGATTTGCAGAGGATACGAGAACATGACCAGGATGACAATCGCAAGACGACCAATAGTACTGGCGGCTGCAGTAGGGTACATGGAGACAATGTTGCCGTGAATGTTGTCGCCATAAGAAAGGTAGCCCGTGATACCCGTCAAGATGTACAGCCCGCACGCGCCACCAATGGCGGCAAAGATGACCGTCGTTGTCTGGAAGTGGGAGTTGTCGGCGATTTCATTGAGGATCGAGAACATGTTCTGGTGGCACGTGTAGGCAAAGACGATGACGGGGAACGCGGCGAGGGCCGACACAGGGCCCGCCCAGTGGAACACACGGACAGTGCCTCGGTCTGCCAGAGTATCGCCTTTGATGAAGTGCGCAACGACCAGTATGACGAGGTATGCGATGGAGAAGAGGGCGATAATGCTGGTGTACTTGAGCGAGTCTAAGCGGCGAAGGAAGGACAGTGGGATGACGATTAGCCTGTGCCTGTTAGCCAGCGAGCGTGGAGGAGTTGAGAACATGGCCTACATGAATGCAGTAATCCAAAACTGCCTGTCGACCAAAAACGTAATGTGTTGAGCGCCTGGCGCAAAGCCTTGGACGACTCCCGGCATGAGGTCCCCGATAATAATCAGATAGCTAACTGCGACGCCAAAACACTTGATGGCGATGGCGGCGTCGAAGATGATGGAGAGATTCGGATACGTCATCTGAGACAAAGTCGCAAACGACACATGGCCACGGTCGATGTACCGCGCGCATCGGGTCTGGAGGTATAGGCCAAAGCCCGCCGTTGTGCCCGCCCACGCGATGACAAATATGCCGAGGAAGATGCCCATTTTCGAAAGCGCAGAGGGCATGGCAAGGAGGCCGGCACCAAGGACTAGGCGTGTGAATGGCATGGCTGGCGTGCAGCGGTGGGGGACATACTGGTGTTGGCCAGGTTGATGACACTGGAGATCCAAGTCGCCTCGCCCTTGAATCTGACATCCTGTTTGCCTCGACCTCTCCTGCTGCTGTCAACTTGTGTTGGATAAGCGCGGGCGTGCATGTGTGTGTGCATCTAACCTTCTTCCTCTGAGCGATGCCGTGCTCAACGACATGGGATCTGCCTCGTCTGGCTGGGGACTGATGGCAGAGTAGGTAGCCATGCTCTCTCGTGGGGCGGGTGTAGCGTGTGCGGTGGGTGTTATTGCGCGCGCATACGGTGGGGTTGAGTCGACACGGGTGCAGATGTCGGGAAGCGGGACGCGGCCAGGTGTCAGGACAGGAAAAGCTGGGGCTGACAGTGGCAGGTGAGGTTGATGGGCCGCGTAGAGGTGACGGAGCTCGGGGGCGTCTCGGGATAGATAAGCGGCTATCCGCGCGCTAGCCCCCCCCAAGGAACCCACGGCCACGTTCCGCTCCGCCCTAGACCAGCAAAGTCCAAGTCGCCTGTGCATGTGGGTGGGCATGCACGCGATGCGCGCGTCCACGTCTGCATCCCACGCACGCACACACAACACGGCGCTTCGACACAGGACCATGGACGAGTACGAGGAGGCTGTTCTGTTCACGTTTTCGCTGCTCGAGTCACGGCTAGACCGGCTGGAATATGTGCTCGGCGGGGCGGCGGACGCAGGCAGGGACGGGCCCAAGACGATAGTCGAAAGAATACACAGGATCGAGCAGTCACTGCAGCAGCTGGCGGGCAAGACGGCATTGCTGGACGAAGCCAACAATCTATGTAAGGACGAGCATGGCGCTGCATACATGGCAGAGGGGCTGCTCAGGGCTGACACGAGCAGTAAGCAAGCACAAGGACGTGCTGAAGCCTGAGGGCCACGGCGACGACTTGGACTACGACGACGACGACGACTTGGACTTTGACGACGACTTTGACGGGCCTCGGCTGTCGACGGGGCACAAGACAGCACTGGTTGTTGAACGGGCGACCAGCTTTGCGACGACGGCGTCACAGCTCAAAGCGCTTGAAGATCAGCACATGGCTACGACGGAGGGATTTGCGAAGCTTGCGGCGCTGCGACCGCGCATTGCAGAGGCGGAAGGGCGGCAGTTGCAGCAAGCACTGAAGATTTCGGAGCTGCGGCGCAGGAATGGGCTGGTGAACCAGCGGTACAAACAGGTCATGTTGCTTGGCGGAGGGCGGTGCTGGGTGGACGTCAACGAGCGGCTGACCAGGGCGCTGCGGGGACTTGTGCGCGAGGAACACCGACGGCAGGCTGCGGATGGGATGATGGGGGAGCATGAGGCGGGGGCAGGGGCGCAGGCACAGGCGGGCGCGGAGAGCGAGGAGGGCGAGGATGATGAGTTGTGAGAAATTGTCAGCACTGTCGCAAGATTGGGTTGAGGCAGCTGTCGCGGTGTAGGTGCAGAAGAAATTACCGACGTCGGTGTAGTGTGCAGCCACGGCGCACCCCTTGACTTTTGCTGCTGACGCTAGTGGCTGGAGACAAAGGCAAGGGCTTTTTTTGGGTGGCCAGTGGCGCAGGCGGTTGCGTGTGGTGCATGGGTGCATGGGTGGTGAAGCAGACGTGACAGATGACGGCGGCGGGCGGTGGCGGCGGTGCATGGCCGTGTACTGTATGTAGTAGTGGTAGTATGGGCATAGATGGCGGTAGATGCAAGCAGCGCTGGGTGTCGTCATGTGGATGCGAGACGAGCAGGAGGCAGGGCAGGGCAGGGCAGGGCAGGGCAGGGCGTGTATCCGGGCGGATGGTGTCGGCAGCGGGTGCTTGCTAGGGGGAGAGGGAGTTTGGCCGACGCAATACACCTACGGCGACATGGCGTGGGCGTGGGCGTGGGCGTGGCAGTGCAGCCACAGCAGCGCGGCGCAGGGGAAACGGGTGGGCAGGGCAAACATGAGGCGCGAGCACGCGTGCGAGTGGTGGTAGCAGTCCATGTGCATGTATACTTGGGGCTGCGGAGAGGGCGCTGCCGTGGCCTGGCGTTTCAGCAGCGTCTCGGGTGCGTGTGTGCCAGGCCCAAAGCGTCATGGACAAGATGGCCGGGCGAACTGCTGCAGCTGACCTGAGCCGTGGGCGACACGTGAGCCGGTGCCTTGCAGGCAGTATCCAAGTCCAAGTGCTGCGTACAAGTACAGCACTGTATGTGCGTAATTCCAGGCCATCGGCTACGCGGGCTCGTACCTGGCTTGCTGAGCTGACTACTGCATTATCCCACGCCCACGCCCACGCCCAGCGCAACCCACGACAGCGACAGTCTACACCACGTATGTGCATGCTCGCAGCAGCTGGCAGTGCCATGTATGCCGCACACGCTCCCCCGGCACCCATGCACTCGACGCCTGCGCTGCGCTGTCCAGAACCTTTGGCTGACGGGCGGTGCCAGTGCCATTTTAATCTGCATACGAGCGGGACCCGCAGCAATCCCCGACCCGCCCATGGGCCAATCGAGAGCCTCAGCCTGTCCGACTTGAAACCGTCGCATCTCGCGCGCCCTGCCAAAACCTCGTCGACGCCCACCACCACCAGTCGCCCTCTCTCTCTGCCTCTGCAGCCGCCGCCCCTCGCACGAGCGCCCCGCGACCACTGTTGCTCCACGCCCAACATATACATTACTGACCCTGCCCCAACACGCCCGCCGCGCCGAGCCTCGCTGCCCTTTCAGCTGGACTAGACACTGACAGCGCCCACTCACTTGCTCTCCTCCTCCTCCTCCTCCTCCTCCTCCTCCTCCTCTCCCACCGCCGCCACCGCCGCCAGCCCTCCCCGTCTTTCATTTGCCCACGCTCCTTTGGCCCTGCTCGCCTGTTGCCCGCGCCTCATTCCTTAGCCGTTCCTCGTCTACGCTCCCTCCGCCCCCTTCCCCACACTATATGCCTGCTTACGGCTCATCCGCCTCTCCTACACTCGCCAAAATGGAAAACGGAGGCTATGGCCAGAGGGCGTCCGGCTTCAGCATCGGCCGCATCTTTGGCGATCCCTTTGCCCTCGCAACCATCTCCATCGGCATCGTGAGTCGGCCCACCCAAACCCCCCCCGGAAGCCCGTGGCTAACACTGTCCGCAGCTTGCCTGGATCATCTCTTTTGTCAGCTCCATAATATCCGCCATTCATGGCGGCTTTCCAAACTTCGCGTGGTGGACCTTGGTCTTCATGTTCTTCTGCATCGTCGGCGTCACCGTCACCGTCGCCTCGAATGCTGAGCGGACGTACCATGTCGCGGTACGTGGCAACCCACACGGCAACCACCATGGCGCGCATGCACTTGCTGATTCGCACAGATTGTCGGCTTCCTGTCGGCAGGCCTCGTCTTCACCACCTCCTCGGTCAACTCGCTCGTCTACTCGCCCGTCACTCCCTTTGAAGCTGCCGCTGCTGGCTACATCCTGCTCTCTATGATTGCCGTAAGCAAACGCCAAATGCCACGCGCCCCCCACCACTGACACGTCGTAGATTGTCTGGATCTTCTACTACGGATCCCAGCCCCAAGCCAGCCACCGCGCCTTTGTCGATTCCTACGCCCTCCACAAGGAAAGCGCAGGCTCCCGCTCGTCTCGCCCAATCTCCAACGGCTACACGAACCGCCCAGAAACCCAAAACGCAAACATGGCGCCCCAGATGTATACCTCGGCTCAACTCAATGGCTTCGAGACGTCGTCCCCTGTATCTGGCTACCCAGGCGGCCCCGCTGGCGCAAACGGCCGCAACTCGTCTGCCCCTGCCTTTGGCGGCATGAACAACCAGACGCCAACCAACGACGATGCCCAGCAAGAGGCCTCGATCGAATACCCCTACCGTGCAAAGGCCATCTACAGCTACGAGGCCAACCCCGACGACGCCAACGAAATCAGTTTCCAGAAGCACGACATCCTCGAAGTATCCGATGTGAGCGGACGGTGGTGGCAGGCCAAGAAGCCAAATGGAGAGACGGGTATCGCGCCCAGCAACTACCTCATCCTGCTATAAGAAGACTGGCTCTTCTGCTCTGTGCCATCACGACCCCTCCACGACCATTTCCTTGCAGTCATTACATTCCACGTGCACGCCCCATTCCGCGCCCATGGTTTCCCTTTGCCAACGTCCTCATGTCTCGACGAGACTCTTGATCGACGACTTACGTTGGATTCTTGTGCCAAGCTTGCTTGTTAGCTGAGCAACAAGAGGGGCACGTTGACAGCCAGGCGTCTTGGGTACTGGCCATCGCTACCTCTTTTCGTTCTGCGGCTACTCTTCTGCACGATACCCAAGTTCCCTTACCAGAATAATTTTAAACCCGGTTGCCTCGTTCCCTTTTCGCATATGCCTTTCGGCTGTCTTTTTTTTTTGCTCCTGGATTTTTTCTGCTTGTTGCTCTCGACTCTTATCAGCCGCCAGTGTTTTTTTTTGCTCAAATATCACATATTCACTGTTTTCGCGATGCTATTCTACTTTGCTTTGCTAGCCCCTCTGCACCACCCACGCAGAGCAACGGCGTTCCCCATAAAGAAGCGTCTGCCCATTGTCGTTGACGTAACAAGTCATTTGTCTAACCTACCTTGTATTTCATATTCTATTTTCCTGCCTTGAGGTGAGGCGAGGAGGGGCGCTCGAGGAACACGAAACCACACAAAGCTTTTTTTGGTTTCTTGTTTGGATCTTATTTTGCTACCATGGCCAGCAGGTGCACGTCTCCTGGCTTGTGGGGGTACGCATGTTGTAGAGGAAGGAGAAGAAAAAGTTTCAACTTCCCATGGCCACGTGTAGTCATGGCTTTTCCTTTCGGAGATGAAACCAGATTGGTGTAACAATGAAGTAACCATAGAAGAACCACGTTTCAGTTGCACGACGTTGCGAGACTCGACTAATTTCAATACAATTTATTCTCAACCAACCATCTTGTTTGATCTTCTCTCCCCACCATTCCTTTATCTCGCTAGTTGAAAGCGGGGTCGTCATGTCACAAGTGTATTCGTTTTATCGTCCAATGCAAGTTTGACGTTTTTGCTTTTGCCGTGTGCACTTGATTCGGTTGTCTTGTACAAGACTATTCATGCACAAGTAGGGAATTCTTGCGCAATGCAGGTACGATACAGGTTGGATAGTAGAGACGTCATCCCCGGTTCTTGTGGCCAACCCACATTGTGTCCAAACACATTGGCTCCCACAGTCTTCCCACGCTCCTCTCCAATCCCACCGCCTGGAACCTGGATATAGCCAATTTATGTGACGCAAAACTCTTCAAACGTCCTCGACCGTCAATGCACATGTCTGTCTACCCACCTTCCCATTCCATGGCCCGCTTGAGCGGCGGAGCGGGGCTATGGAACCTTGACCTGCCCATTGCGGGGCACGCTTCATAATGATGTTTAGCGGCTTACCAGAGCATGTGGAACTCGGTCAAACGGATCTATGACCCTCTGACGGACGCATTTCTGCTCATTCCTACAGTACACATTCCCTCTTGCTACTCCGTCACTTGCACTCTCTCCGCTACCATGTCCGCCGCCCAAGCACTCCGCGAGAAGCAAGCACCCATCAAAGAAGGGTACCGCAGCAATCCTTCCTCTGCCGTCGTAACCCTCAAATCCACGGGTTCTCTAGACGACCATTCGATAACATGCAAGCTCTCGGATAGCCCAGCTATCAAAGAAGCGCATCGTGTAGCCGGCCTGCACCAGAAAGCAGGAGGTGAAGACCCCGCTATATCGGGAGAGCTCTGCTCCGGCGACATGCTTCTCGACGCCCTCGTTGCCTGTTCCGGCGTCACGCTCAAAGCCGTTGCCACAGCCCTGGGCATCCCGATTGCATCCGGTACTGTGACTGCCGAAGGCGACTTGGATTTCAGAGGCACATTGGGAGTAGACAAGACAGCGCCTGTGGGCATGACGGGCATACGATTGAACTTTTCACTCCAGTTTGGCGAGAGAGAAGATGGACGCGAAGTCACGGAGCAGGAGGTGGAGAAGCTGGGAAAGCTGACCGAGAGATATTGCGTTGTGCTCCAAACGCTGGTCCACAAGCCCACGATTGCTGTCAACTTGGCTGGCAAGGGGGGCGGCAAGGAGGAGGCGGGAGTTCGTAGGGAGGTGTCGCACAAGAGTGAATTGTAGTATGCAATATACAGCTTATGAATTGACACGTCCTTGACATGATTTCATAAGTGATCTCGCTCAAAGCATACTAATCTTGCCACACTAAATCACTCTCTAGCCCATCAATCTACATCTTATCAAGCACGAATAAAAAACCTACAGACTCATCATCTTGCAGTCGCTTGAAAGTTATTATAGTCCATGCATACAACAAGCGACAATAGCTTGTACAGAGTTCCCTGCGCATCGAGCCTCATGTTCAAATCACGTGCTTGCCTTCGCCCGCCTACACCACTGCGCCCAAAATAATTTCTCTTACCCTGCATGACTAATACATACGACCATAGGACATTATTCCGGAACCACTCGATCCCGTTAGCTCTCGAAAAGTTAAACGGTTTGCCGGTGGGCAAGTAGCCAGGTGGGTGACCACTGGCGAATCCCCGCTGTTGTATGTTTTTTGTTTTTTGGTCAGCTCTGTTGCTCCATTACAAGTCAATCATGATGTCTAGGTGCTATATTTGGATGTTGTAGGATTAGACATATGACTTGACTAGACAGTAGGGTTTTGCTAACTTCAGTCTCAAGTGTGTAGTTGTTATTTGTAACTTGAATCACCCTCTTTTACTACCTTTCTTTTTATATCAACACATAGCTTTTCTTTTGAATAATTTCTCTTAGTGTATAGTGAACACGTTATATAGAAGGGACTATGAGTTACTATCTCTCCTAAACTTGCATTAGCACACTTTAGTGATTCATACTGTTAAGATAGTATCAAACATGCGTTGTATGCAGTTCATATGCGCAAATCACTCTTACTAGGGGTTTAAATATTAGAATATTTATAGCTTCGTATAATGTTACTACTATAAGAGTGACTAAGCTTATAATCAAAGTAGGTAAAAGATTCTTAGAGCATAATTCATATCACTTGTAACTACGTTAGATCTTCTACTCTAGTAATTCATAAACAGAGGGATATCAGAGACCTATCTATATGCAATAAACAAGACGATTAAGAGAGATCTAATAGAGATAAATGTACTTAAACATATGTGCCACTTGCTAAGGTAATAACAATTGATATATTTGTATACCCTGTTACGTTTAACCTATACGTAAAACTAACAGGTCGTAGGAGCTTGCAAAACCTATTGCTTGAATCCAGGTAAGTGTATCTAAGTACTAATTGATTAACATGTTCAAAAATAAGAGAGAGGTATCAAGCAGATATTGTTAGATATTACATTAATCCGCAAGCAAGTACCCGGATCTGCGCTTCTAATCACCATTGTGCTAGGATTAGGCCCTGCTTTCTACAGTTCATATGTTACGTGTTAGAAGGTGATGTTGCTAGCTTGCGACGCTGACCCCAACGTCACAATATAGTCATATATCCTGTAGCTACCTAGCAGCTTCGTGATTATATGTTCCTATTCGATAGTAACCGTACACTAGCTGTCCAGGGTACGATCAGAGACTAATGGCAAGTTTGAGATGGATTAGGCTTCTTGGTTTTGTTCCCTGTTTGATATGTCTTTCTATGATAGGACGCGCTTTCAAAACATAAAAGCTGCAATGAAACAAAACTACAATTAGCACTCGTGCCAAAGCCTGGCTTTTGGTTCTTACTTGGCCAATTCTGAGTTCACAACCACAGGGACAGTATATTGCCTCAGTGTCTGCATAGCCTTTAAGACGAAATGTTTTACAAAGCCCGTAGTCTGGAGAGAAGGTGTGCAGTAGTGCTTGATCTTTAGACACAAATATCGAGAGCTAGGCCTCTTTCCCAAGACTTCCCCTTTCCAAACTCACCACTGGTCTTACTAGTACCTAGTCTTATTTGCGAGCCTCTTATACATATGAGCAATGTTCTTTGATTTGTATGCAAGACGAGATATGTATGGTGATCATGCAGGTGCTGCGTGTGAGCGATGGATTGTAACAGATTGTCATAATACTAGAGCAATGCAATAATCAATTTGATGCAAGGCTCTTAATATCGGAATATCTTGGTACCACGCGGCTTTAATTCCAGGAGATTTGATTCGATTGGAACAAGGTCAAAGCCCGTGGGATGCAGTAGTCCTCCTTTTGATTGTAAGTGCAGTTTAATACTATATGACGGTTGGTGATGAGACGACTCTGACTTGATTACGTGGGCTTGTACCGCTTAGAAATTCTTTTTAGCTGCATAGAATCCCTTGCTTGTTAGATGCACACTGTCACCTGGGTTTTGATGAGAAATGACGAAAACTTTGACTTTGAAGCGATCTACGTACCCACTAAATGAGTGCTCTCCATCTTCTCACAAGAATTAGTGAGAATTTTAGAAATTCATACGGAGCATGGCTAGTTTATAGGTCTGCTGGTGTAGACACTTTGATCAAAGGTCGGCAGCAGTTTGAATGTCATATTTGAGCCTAAGCTGAGCCTCTAGCGTGCCATTAATTGCCCCAGATTTGATGTCCAAAGAATCCAGTTGGATGTAGGAGTGCATATGTGACTGCCGTCAGGCCTCACATATAAAGGATAGCTATGGCAGGCATAGAAAAACATCCAAATACAACCTGATTGCCATGAAAATCTAACCTTTATTCTCCACGACCCAAAGATCATGTTCACCATATTTTTTCATTCTCATACGAGGAAATCTGGGTTTCCATAATTCAATGTACAAACTCTCCGTCACTCACTGAGGAACTTATGGGGTTACCGTATATTCAAGATGCACCTCTCCGATGCCTGCTGATAGTGCATAACAAAGGAAACCCCCACAGCAGCAAAAGCAGTACATTGGCGATGTCAGAATCCATGACCGGCTGCAGTCTAGTAGCATATGATGGTGGGCCGGTATCAAAAACGAGGCAAAAAGGCTATTCTCAAGATCCGGGATATTGTCAGGGATGTAAGCAAAAGCATTGCAGGAGCAGGCTCATCCAAGGTGCGAGAGTTTTCCAAAGTACCCAGGATACATGTACACCGGTTGTGCTAGTAATGGGCAGCACACGTACGAGTGCAGAGTTCAAGGGGAATGAGGGATTTTAGGACAACAAGGCATGAAGTGACTCGTGTATGTTGATTTGACCACTTCCGCCACAGGAGTCGAATGGCGGGAGCCGCCGACAGTCGGATGGACTGATGGATTTCTTTTAAGGAGGTGGTGATGGGTGTCCAACTGACATGATGAGTATTGAGTGAGGCGCATGTATGAATAGCGTTGTTGCTAGTTGAATGCCACGAGTATGGATTGCATGGTTCGCTGACAGGCTACTGCAGAGGTGGATCATGTGCACAGGCATCTAAGCAGTGAGCATGAAAACATGGCATTTTGGTGTCCAATGGAGGGGAGAGATTCTTGGCAAGACTCGAGTAAAAGCACGAGAAGCGTAAGCTCGTCAATTGCTACCGGTAGCAGACAAGCATCGTATGATTGCACAGACTAAACAGCTTGTACTTGCGGCAATAAAGTTTCCGAGGTGCATGGCTTGCACACACACACACACACACACACACATACATGTCTTCACACGCACCACGACGCTGCAGCAGCCCTCTGCGTGACGAGGGCTTTGGCCCTCTTGCATGTATGGGCAGAGAAAACAGGCCTAGCGCATGCAGACCTGGACAGGCCAACCGCCAAGGCAGTGTGAAGCGTTGGTGGCGCTAAGTAGAAAGAGGAAGGAAAAAGCAAGTGTGAAAGCACCCAGCACATGGATACAGCGCACAGCACACGCCCGCGCCTGCGCCTCCCCTTTCTTGGCTTCCGTCAAAAGCAAAAAGAAAAAAGAAGAGAACAGGCCCCGGAAAGGCAGGGGAAGAAAAGAAAAGATCAATGAAAAGGAATTAAATGGGGGGAAAAAGGGTCTCTGCATCCAATAGTACGGTAGGGGCGAAGACAGAATCACGCAACCTTTGTATTGAAACTGACGGATCATCCCGAGGGTGTTATTGATAGGGAAAGCTCGGAAGGGCTGGTTGGTAGTAATAGTGGTGGTGTGGACAAAAGTCAAAAGTCAGTTGGAGAAGAGGGGTGTGGTGGGGAAGACACGAAGAATACGACGAGGAACGCAGGTCAAAGAATCTAGAATGTCCATGGAAAGAAAGAAAGGTTTCCGTCGTAGTTGAAAATGTGGGGGGAGGGGGGATGGGGAAAGCGGTGAGTACATGGAGCTACCTACATTTCCAGTAGCTGCTTAACGGCATCACCTCCGTTTCTTTGATGGTTGCTAGTAGTAGTAGTAGCAGTAGTAGTAGTAGTAGTAGTAGTAGTAGTAGTAGTAGTAGTAGTAGTAGTAGTAGTAGTAGTAGGTAGATACGAGAAGAATAGTGCTGGTGTGGGAAAAGACACGGATCTACACACCACTACCGCCTACCTGTGCCCGCCATTTGCACGCCACTTGAACACGCGAATACGGCGTGGGCGTAAAAAAGGGTGCATGTGCGGGAAACTTTGTTGTGCTTGGGGGGGAATTCGCTCAGCTCCGCGCGTCACATGACGTGTGGGCGAGTCGTGTGGTGCTTATTGCTGCGCCTATGTGCGGCTAGAGCACGAATGACACGCTGGCGGAGCATGCTTTTGTGGTAGGCTAGTGGGAAGAGGGCCAACACTATGGGTTTCTGGCCTTGTTCTATTGCGATTGCGCGTGGAGTCGACGTAACATGATTGACAGTGGCAGTGGTGCTGGGGGGGTTTGCGAGGCAAGGCGGGACACGGGAATTAGTATTTTGCCTCACGGCCGATGTGACAGCGGCGAACGTTGAGGGGCGGATATAATGCGCCCGTGGCCAATGGGAGGCGCGACGGCAGCGTGGTTCACGCGGTGACGTCATGGGACATGCTATGGCGGGCGACTAGGCAAGACATGATTACCACAGTGACATGTGCCCGAGAAGCAGCAGGCGAGCAAAAGACGACAACATTGGCATGCAACGGCGCGCTCTTGCAGTGTAGTGTGGTGTAATGTAGGATAGTGTAGTGTAGTGTAGTAGTACCCTCGGGCAAAAGGGGGCAACCGAGTGCCTTGTCCGTTGCAGCGGTGAGCGTGTTGGGGCATGCCTTTTTTTTAGTGTCTAGAGACAGCGACACAGACAGACAGAGAGGGCGCTACATGGAGGGAGAGATTCGGGCCATGTTGAAAAGGGAGC